ACTGCCCTGACCGTCGGCTGACCCCCCCCCCCCCATCAAAAGTTACTGCTCACTCCTTGTCTGGATTCATTGCTGGCATAATTCTCCTTCCTGCCTCTACCAGACATAAGTGGAGATGTACTGGACAGATGAAGCCTTTCGAAGGCAGTTGCCTGGAAGCTCATCTCACCAGGGCACTGAAGGAGAGGGACAGACCCATATATTAGAAGGTCTTCGCAGCATGGGAGTCTAAGGAAGTCTGCACCGACTTCTCCAGCATGAGAAACCTTCAGCCTCACCTCTTTCCCCCTCACTCTTGGTGCACCTGGAGAAGTAAACAGCATGTGGAACATTCCAAGATGTCCCTCTCAAAGGCACATCAGGCACTGACAGCATCCTTCACTGATCAATAATCACAAAAGGGACAGAGCTTAAACACTGGGGACTTTAGCCTCTGCCGTGATCCAAGAACCCCTAGATGTGGAAGGAACTAAGAGCAGCTAGGGGAGAAAATGAAGCTTGACATAAAATGCTAAAAATTTATTGTTGCTTTTTTAAAAGTGTATACGCATATATTGCAACTGGCAAAAGGAAACAACTAATTCTTGCTCACTAATGAGCTTAAGGAAGAAATGGAATCTGATTGCTTAAAAGAAGACAGTACCAAGGCTCCACATTGCAGCCACAGATAGCCAGAAGGAATTGAGAAGTGATTGAGTCCACTTTGCCTGGGAGTAGTAGGAAGGAAGGGTACCAGGCATGACCACAACTGACACTAGCCAAAAAGAATCAGATCTGATCTCAAGTGCATGGAGTGCAGGTGTACCGAGAATGGAATCTGTGTGGACTATCGCTCCAAGAATTTGCTTTATCAAGGCTTTTCCCATAAGCAAATAATTAAAATCAGTGATTTCCTTTCTGCTGTTACTCAAAAGCAATCAAAGCATGAGGGGAAAATACAGCATCACTAAATACCTACAACTGAAATCTTATGGAGCTCCCTTTCTGCCAGTGCTTCTGAATAAAGAAGAAAAGGGTAAGGGTAGAGAGGAGCTCGCTTGACCCTAGAACGTCAGGTTCAACTGCCTTGAAGAAAGAGGTGTGCATCCTACCTGGCTAATCCTTCCTCGTAGAGGTAGACAACAAGTGGATCATAGGACGTCACCAGTACATAGAGGCGCACATCGAATTTGAAGTCTGGAAGATGATTAGCAAGAATCAGTGCTCGCAAATATTCCCCCAAGAACCCCCAGACTCCGCACCCACATGAGGGGGAACAGCAGACCTGAGAGTGATGGACTTGTCAAATGGATAGAGTCTATCAGCTTCTGCTGACCTGAGATGTTCAGCACTTTCCCAATAGGGAAGCTCCCCAGGTTTGAGGAATCCCCTTCCCCCAAACTATAGTTCTAAGATACTGAAGAAATGTACCTATCAAAGGTGTGGCAGCCCAAATGGTTACTCAGAGTCTTGCAGAAGCAGTAAAGTAGGGGTTTAAGCAACTAGTCGAGTTACTACTTGCTCCCCCCTACCCTGCTGCCTCTATCAGAGGCAACAGTGTGGGGGAAAGCAGGAGCTAGTGATGGGAGAGATGGTTCCCCCCAGCACCATCTCCGCAGGGCGGGAAGGTCAGGTGGAGGCAGAAGCACAGCGGTACGGGACCCAGCACAAGCCAGGACTACTCAGTCCCAGCTCATGCCAGGTCTTCTACCTACCGCCGTTCCACCTCTTCAATTTAATTGTAGTAGGAGTCAGGCTACCTGCGTACCCAGCTCCTACAACATTTAAACTGCAGAGCCACAGCAGGGGTAGCTCCCGGACCCTGCCTCCCATTATTGACTAATTTTGTTATTGATACAGAATGTATCAATTACATGATTAGTCAATTACCCACTTCTTAACATCCTTACTGCAAAGACCATCCAGTCAGGAAACTCAGCAGAAGTCAATTCCTACACACTCACCATCTATGAGCAGGGGGTTGTTGATGTAGCGGGACACAAGGATATTCTCTTCCAAGGAAATCTGGTTTGGCTATAGAACAAGATGCAGTGTCAGTAAGAATGAGGAAACCACAAACCCAAAGGCTGACTTTACAAAGAGCCTTTCCATTCAAAAGTTATTCTGCAATGGGAAAGCCTGGCCAATCACAATGTATTTAGGGTAGTTAGATCCTGATTGCAAGCTTTACCAGTGTATTATTACATTTCCAAAGAATATGCCATTCCAGAGATCCCAAAGTGCTTTACCCATTAAACAAAATTAATACAAACACCACCAGTGTGTCCTTCTGAATTGGCCTCAATAGCTGTGCTGATTAACAACTATACTGCAATTATGCACAACAGTTTAGGGGTTGGAAGCCTTAAATGACAGTCACATTGATTTCCTACTTTTCTGATGTTAATTATATTGTCCAAACACAGAGTAAGCGGCCTTACTTTCTTCTTAGGCATCCAGGACTGGCTATTGATGGAGGCAGATCCAGGAATAGAAGGACTAAATCCTGTTTCAAGAGCTTAATTTTGAGAATCTCCAGCATATGGAAGGAACAGAGCCAAGAATGGGGGAGATGACCTCCTCACACCTTCAGTCTCAGCAGCCAGCTCCAGGGCTGTTATTCAACTACTCACCTTGCCTTGTTGAGCTCCCCTTATCCCAGGGTCAGGCAGCAGGGAAGCTGCTATACTGACAAAGGAGCTCAGGATAGAAAGCTCCATTGTAGCTCTTAAGACAAATATGCATCAAAGGTGTGGGCAATAAGATAAGCTCTCCAGCTTCACAGGCACAGGTCACTGATTGAGTAGGGAAGCTGTGCAGCAACCTCTTCAGGAGACTTTTACTCTTCAATGTCTGTAAATCCCTCTCTGCCCCTTGCCTCTAAAAATGGTTCACATTGGTTAGCAGATTCTTGTCTCAGTTTGTGAAGAAGCCAAATTTAATCTACCTCCCGGTCTTTCATTCACTTGTGTCTGGAGATTCACATTTGCCTTGGCCTAAGCAAGCAATCTTGACAAACTAAAGAGCCACAAAGAGAGCTCACATTTTTAGCGTGTCACAAAAATGGCAACCTTTTACACTCTGGATTAGAAATAGTTTGAGGATTGTTATTGTTAAAGAAACCCATTTTCCATGATCTGATTCTAGAAAACACTCCTCTGTTAAGGTCACACTTCATGAAAAGGGAAATCTTGGAGCCAAACCAGCTGACATACTGCTGGAATAGATACACAAAAGGGAAATAGATCCCAGGAGAGCCCTTTTCTGCCCACACTTGAGCATGCACTCCCTCTTCTACAAGCAAAGAGCAAAGCTGAGTGCAGCTTTGGAAAGAGTTACTTCATGTACTTGGCTAGCTGCTCCCTTATTCCTTGGGAAAGGATCCAGGGAGAGGATGGATGAGGCAGCCTGGCCCCTTCACTGCAGGGACAAAGAAGGGGATAAATGAGTAAATGTAAACAAAGTGATTCACCAACCAGCTTTGCAGTATGCCAGGAACACTGTCCTTTTGGTCCTTAAGGTTCAGAATCCCCTCAACCCTTCTTGGCTCCAGTTCAGACTTAACTGCCATTAGTGAGAAACTGATGCTCTGCTCAGCATGCAAAGAACAAGGCAAATGCTACAACCAGAACATGGCGCTCAGAGCATCAGCCCTCAGAAGAGATCTAGTACCATTAGTACCATATATCCCAGAGCCCGCTGTTTCCAGAATACAGGCCTCTCCCTGCCACTGGTGGATTTCACTTTGCTGAAAGTTATTCAGCTTCTTGGGGCCACCTAACAGCCACAAGAGAGACAACAACTCAGGGCCAGTGAAGGTAAGATGTATAACAATGAAAATGGGACCCAGCTCTCAATGTCATACAATGTGGAATCTCCACTCCAACAGCTTTCTGGAAGTCTATCCAAGGCAGCCTGCACCATTAAGCAAGCTCAGGATGCAGCTGCACAGCTACTCATACTTCATCAAAAACTGTCTTCTGATTACTGCTGCACCTGAGACTTATGTTCCAGAACATGAATCATGTAAAAACAAGATGCTTCAGGGCATGCCATCTGCTTGAAAATACTGACCACCTACCAAGTACATATTGGTGCTGAAACTGAGGCCTGCTGGTGAGATTACCATGGCACTTGTCAAAGTATGACAATAGGAGGGGATGCAACAGCATCTGGGAAGATCAGCAGTCTACTGAACACTTACGTTGTTGATCAGGTAAACACCTCGCCCTCTGGAAGAGGCCACAGGTTTCACTATCCAGGGACCCCTGTCCTTTGAGTAAGAACCTAGTCAAGAGAAAGAAGCATGAAACAGAAGTGTCTTCCAACTTTTTGCAAAGGCTGCCAGGGTACTGCCCACAGTTGTTCTTCACTTGTTTGGCTTTTCCCTATGGTGTTAAAAAGCCCCAAATGCCCTCACTAAGTCTGTTACTGCGTAAGCTGGACACTGGTGTCCCTTCTCAGTCTGGTACTTCTCCTGATGCCTCCCCCTCTGCCTAGCATGGACTACAGCAGTTCTTAAAGATGAGCCTTCTGGTGCTCAGACCCACTAGCCCTCAGGCCCTAGGATCTTTCATCTGCAGTTGATAAAGCTTAAGGGCTCAGCTTTCACTTTGAGGCTATGGATTCACTTAAGGCATGGAGTGCTACCACTCTGCACTGCTGCCTCTGTATCAGCAGCAGCACAAGGTGGCAGGGGACTCCCCGAGAGTGGGGCTAGATTGCACTGGCTGCAAGCCCTGCTCCTGGGGACTACTGAAGAGTTGAGTAACCAATAAGAATTAATGTGGTTACTCCACTATTCAATTAAACATCTAACATCCCTATTCTAGACAGTATTATTCTAGCCCCTCTTCCTTGCAATTGTATTATTCTCATCACAAGCTGAGCTTTTTCTCCCAAGGGCCCCAAGCACAAGCAGAAAACTGGATGATAAACACAATCATGCACCTCTACCTACTTGCCCCCTGGATGCTACTCAAGGGCTGGACATTGCCAGTCACTTACTGCAGAACTCCTGATATTCTGCTGGCAGGATGAAAGTCTGAGGTAAGATGTGGAATGCCTTGAACCCATGCGTGTACTGCATGCGACTAACATTCTTGTACAACCTGTCTTTCCGGGTCAGTTCATACGACCTGAAATTATAGAAGCAGCAACTGCATCTTCTCCATGAAGCATCCCTTGACAACCCACATCAGTATCCTAATGGGGAGGGTTTAGTAACTAGGGCATAGAAACTAGGGTTCTTAGTTCTATCAGAGAAACCTCAATCCCAGAATCCCCTTCTGTTCCAGTCTGGGGTCTCCTCTTAGCCTTGCTAATTCCCCTCAATCATCTGCAATACCCCATGTTAGTCCCATCATAGGCCTTCCAAGTGGGACTTAGCAGTGAACTGTAGTTTTTTCGTATCACTAAAACATCCACCAGGGACTAAAGGGATACCCTTTCAGTTGTGCCCCAAACAAAATGAGAAGCCCAGTACCTGGGCTACAAAGGCAAGTGCACTAACCTAATTAATATCTTCTTATTGCCTTATAGGGATAAGAGAGAGTGTGTGGCTCAGTCCCAATGTTATGGGATCTGTGTATCACCCACCCCACAGGTTATTTTACAGATATTGATCTTCAGTCCCCTCCAGACAGGAGTGAAGTTGTTCAGCAAAGCTCTTACCTGGGGAAATGGTTTACTTTCTGAATATCTGAGAGGGTGCGCAGCAGATATGGCTTCAGATGGGATCCTGTCCACATGAGGTTATAATCACTACTGTTGGGGTGTACCTGATTGGACAGGACAAAGCCAAGGAGCAGATGAAACCAACCATACAATCACCAGTTAACTAAACACTCAGCCCTCCAGTTTGAGGAAGCTGGGAAGTTTCCAGCCTAACAGTTCCTTTTACCCACTCGTACACTACAGTTTGGAATATTCCTACCCCAACCTATTGCAATGTTGATAGGAACTCTGCCACATCTGAATTTTTGCTACAGCGGTTATGAAAGAAATTTTCACAGGCAATTAAATCCATTTATAAAAGCATCCTGAAGTCCCTCAACAGTTTTGCCAGATTACCGTTCAACCTGTCTCAAACAAAAGAGAACTCACTCATAGATACCTACTGACAGAGTGCTGATCTGGAACCTGGTAGGTGACAGAGAACAATAAGCATTAAAAAAACGGCACTACACCAAGGTTCCTGCCTGCTATCTTAGGGTTTGAAGTGAGCCTCCAAAGGAAAATCAACCTCTGTTCTTCCAGCTAAGGACTCTTCAAAGACTGGGTTTATAATGAGAACAAATAGTACTCCTGCAGGATGGCAGAATTGTGCAACGTACCCTGATTGACTGGCTGAAGATTAAAATACCACAGTCCCAGGATCCCATGCTACCCGAACTCTGAAAGAAGCCCATAATTTCAACCTTTACAGAACATGTCCTAACTCAGTGACTCAATATCCTCAAGATCTTGTGCACACCTCGTGGAATCCATGGGCAGTCAGAATGCTGCGCACCAGGCGGCTGTCTGTTTTCACAATCTTATAGGACAAGCGATAGTGCTCTGTGAAGAAGGCCAGAGAGAAGGAGTTAGTGACAGCATCTGATTAACAGACAGCCTGATTTCTTGATAACAACATGAACCTCAGCACCACATCAGGAGGGAGAAGGGTACCATCGCACTTTGCACACTGTAGTCATGCTACATCCCTAATGAGTCTGTAGATGCAATAGCACTTGAGACACAAGATCCCTCTGCAACTGAGTGGAACAGCACATCTAGACTACCTTCAGCTTCCGAAAGATATGCAAATTTTGCACAAATTTGCATATCTTCTTTCAATCCCTTTTTCAGAAGAGGTTTTTTGGAAAGAAAAAAAAAGCAGCCTAGATGGGGGTTTTCGCGCAAACACTTCTCCTTTTTTCAAAAGAACCCTTATTCCTCAAAAAATAAGGTTTACAGGGTTCTTCCCAAAAAAGAGGGGGTTATGCGAAAACCCTCGTCTATACTTTTTTTTTCTCCCGAAAAAAACCTCTTCCAAAAAACGGATAGAAAGATATGCAAATTCAGCACACATTTGCATATCTTCTTTCAGAAGCCGAGGGTAGTCTAGGCATGCCCCTAGTGATGCATTACTGGATTATAACAATCCCTCAATGGTCAAATTTCTGCCTTTAGTCGGTTCAGTCTCTTATGACAAATCATACCATCTCCTCAGATATCTGATTCTCAGCAAACCCCTGATTTCTTTACAGTTCTCTTCATAGGTTCTTCTGTGACACTCCAGAATAATCCCAATATTTACTATACACCTCAAAACATGTCCATGCAGCTAAGACTGATTCATGCTACAGGCCGCACCATAACATGTACAGGTACGGCTGAGGCACTGCGTCCAGGGGTACAGCCATGGGCACCAACATGGCACCACAATATGCCAACGTCTTTATGGCTGACCTTGAACAATGTTTCCTCAGCTCTCACCCCCAACACATCATCATATAGACCCATGGGAAAGAGACCCTTGAAGAATTTCATAGGGATTTCAACAACTTCCACCCCACCATCAACCTCAGTCTAGATCAGTTCACATGAGAAATCCACTTCCTTGACACTACAGTACAATTAAATGATGGACAAATTTCCACCACCCTATACTGGAAACCTACCGACTGCTACAATTACCTTCATGCCACTAGCTTCCATCCCAGATACATTTCTCAATCTATTGTATACAGCCAAGCCGTAAGACAAAACCGATTTGCTCCAATCCTACAGACAGACAAACACCTACAGGATCTATATAGAGCATTCTTTAAACTGAAATACCCACCCGGAGAAGTGAAAAAAAGATCGACAGAGCCAAAAAAGTACCCAGACACGAACCACTTCAAGACAGGCCAAAAAGAGAAAACAGAATTCCACTTGTCATCACCTACAGTCCACAACTTAAACTCCTCCAATGCATTATCAACAATTTACAACCTATCCTGAAAAATGACCCCTCACTCTGAGGCCTTAGGAGAAAGGCCAATTCTCACCTACAGACAACCCTGCTGGGGCTCAGACATTTCAAAGACAGAACACACCCAGTCCTTATCAACTAATCAAGTAGTAAATGGAAATCCCATTGACTATTCGATTAATTAACTAACATCCCCAGTACAAATTTTGAGAAAGTGATTTTTTTCTATCTACAGAGAATCAGAGAACCTAGAGAATAATGCAGTCTTGGAACTATTAGAAACAAAGGGTTAACAGAATTAGATTAGTGGATAGAGAAAACAAAAATGCCCTTTTTGTGGGCCTATTAATTTAACAGAGTTCAGAGAAGGAGAAAAGAAATTATCAAGGGGCTGGAATAATGGACTGGCAAACCAAACTACAGAAGAACTGGCATCAAATTAAGAAGTTGCGTAAATTGGTTCAAGCTAGGACTAAGGAAGTAAACTGAGTGAAGAAAGACTGAATTTCAGCAAACTTGTTCATACTGCTGACACCCTATCTCCAAAGCAAAGGGGCAAGAGCCTCACCTCTCAAAACATTTAAACCTGGACTGGACAAAATCCTGGAAAACAAGCCAGGCTAGATTTGATGAACCCCACGTCCATGTACAGCTCCTATGAAAGAGGCAATCACACCACATCAGAACTAAGAGCAACCCCAACCTACCAGCATAGCAATGATTCCTGACAGCAGAAGTGGGGTGGGGGGGGTGAGTAATCGAGTAGTGACTCAACTACCCGATAAACTAGTCACTTACATCCCTAAATTAAAGCATCAATTTATCAACAACAGGAGAAAAAGTGTCATCATCATAGTGAAAGCCAAGAGGAATTCAACTTTTTCCTATGATTTAACATACAGAGCCTTAGCAATAGAAATGCTCCCAGCAGACCCATACAAAGATAAACTCGTGCAATTTCTAACCATTTCCAAGGGTTCTCCCTACCTGAAGCTAGAATAGTTCCAATACCACAGGAAAATGGATTTATTTTTGTTTACATCTGTTTCTCTGCTGGCCGTCTTGATAATGAAGATGAACCAAGTTAAGAATGGTGTTTGTTATTGTCACTGCCGCAGTTAGGCTAGGAGGGAGCACTAGCATAATTTCTGATGGATCCCACTAATGTTACCAGGTTTATTGGTTTTGTTCTCGATTTCTTGATTACTGAGTGATGAATTACCACACAGATTCCAATAAACACAGATCAATGAACCATTTAGAGACATCTAGGTCTAATCCAGAACCAAGTAAATTTCATTCAAGGGAAAATAACCACTCTCCAAATCTTGGGCCTCTAGTTGCAGAATGTTTTCCAAACAAGTGGCTCCCAGCACTGGCTTGAACAAGGAAAAATTGTGAACACAGCCAATTCAAATGGCCACTCCTGACAATTCTTTTTTCCACACCTGAGGAATGAAGAAGGCTTGGAGGCTGCCTAGACGCTCCTCACTGCACATGCTTAGAATTATCACAGATAATTGCACCCACCTCCAATCAGGCGGATATAACTGTCCTTGGTCAGTATGGCTTCTGCGTGAAACACTAATATGGGAATCCTCCTGCAGCCACCAGTCCATATGATGCATGGGTGATCCCTGCAACAGAGAGATAGTTTACAACACGAGATCAGATGAGCCTCACATATATACAGTGGATTACTTACTATGAAGGGGTTAGTCCCTCACACGCACATCCACACTAGAGTCATACATTCCCAAGTTTGCACAACATACCTGCACATCACACTTTCAGGCTAAATGGGGTAGTTTAAAGTATTGAGTAAACCCTAACCCCAAACCTCCATTTTTGTTTAGGCCCAATTCAAAGCAGGTCTCGTTCACTGGAGAACAGTCATCGTCCCCTGTAGTTTGGAGATATTTTCTAGACAGGTGGTTCCCAGTATTGGCTTGACCGGGAATAAGAATGAACTATGATCAGAGCCAATCTAGACAGCCTCTCCTGATATCTCTTCTTTCCGCTCTTCATTTTACCTTGAGGTTTTTAATGTTTAGTTTATATGACTTCAACTCATTAAGTAATTTCCCCCAACAGAAGCCTCACACTTCTCTAAGGGTATGTCTACACTACCCCGCTAGTTCGAACTAGCGGGGGTAATGTAGTCATCCGCAGTTGCAAATGAAGCCCGGGATTTGAATTTCCCAGGCTTCATTTGCATGAAGACGGCCGGCGCCATTTTTAAATGCCAGCTAGTTCAGACTCCGTGCCGCGCGGCTACACGCGGCACGGACTGGGCTTCATTTGCATGAAGCCGGCCGGTGCCATTTTTAAATGCCGGCTAGTTCGGACTCCGTGCCGCGCGGCTACACGCGGCACGGACTAGCTAGTTCGGACTAGGCTTCTAATCCGAACTAGCTGTGGAACGAGGTGTACAGCTAGTTCGGATTAGAAGCCTAATCCGAACTAGCTAGTCCGTGCCGCGTGTAGCCGCGCGGCACGGAGTCCGAACTAGCCGGCATTTAAAAATGGCACCGGCCGGCTTCATGCAAATGAAGCCCAGGAAATTCAAATCCCGGGCTTCATTTGCAACTGCGGATGACTACATTACCCCCACTAGTTCGAACTAGCGGGGTAGTGTAGACATAGCCTAAGAGTCTCAAGATTCACATCCTACACAAAGCAAGATCCACACCCACAGAGGGATACAGCATTAGCACCAGCATACACATTCCCAGCTCTTATGCTGTTCAGTATAAGAATTGCATGAGTGCGCACTGCTGCCTTGCTTCAGATTGGTTCTCCCAAGTGCATTAAGTGTCCACCTTGCTGATATCCTGGGCTCAGAAGTTAAACGAAAACAGGAACCATGCATTGTTCTAAACTTCCTTTTTAAACTTATGGCAAAGTCAGTAGGATTGCATCCCAGAGTTCCATAAGGTTGCTCACAGCCATAGGTGCCAGAATCCAATGACCTTGAAACTAGCAACTCGGTAACATTGCATAATGGGAACAGTAGCCTCTATTGTTCCCTTTTAATAGCTGCAATCTGTTCAATTAAATCCAACTACATAGTTTGGGCATGGCATATCATTAATGCTTCTGCTCTTTGGTTTTGCAGATTTTTTAAAAAAAGTTATGTGTTAAAAGACCTAAATACAGAACAAATTACAAGACAAGTGTGGCAATACAAATGGAAGCAGAATTTGTATTGTACCAAACAGAAACAGTAAGATTGGCTAAACCAACAGCACCCCATTGTGACCAGTGCTAAGCAACATCTCGCTATGCCAGGTTTGGCAACCTACAGCGCGAGTGCCGTAAGTGACACGCAAGCTGATTTTGCGCAGCACGCAGTGGGAGCTCAGCCCTCCTTCTTGTCCCCCATGCAGCAAGGAGCCCACACTGCCATTGGAGCCCTCCCCTTTCCCCCACACCCAGCAGCAGTGGAAGGAAGCAATGCTGGGGCTGAGGCAGCGGCGCCTTCAGGGCCAGCCTGGAAACTGCATGGTCACAGCAGCAGCGCCTCTGGGGCCACCACCCAGGACAGCTGGGAAGTCACCAGACAGGCCTGGCCCCAGCTTCAGCACTGGGGAGGGCTGGACCTAGGGCTGCAGTGTGGCATGAAGTGCCTGGCTGCCGTTCTTTCTACTATCATCACTAGCAGAGCGGTGCTGGAGACAGAAGCTTGTGTGCTGTTTAAAGTATCAAACTACGAGCTCGAGATTGGAGAACCCAGCAAGGGAAAGCAAGGCCATGGATCACTCTAAACTGTAAGATTTGCATCTTAATTTATTTATTAGTGAAGCTGCTAAAATGTAAGGAGGACTATTATTGACTTTAGAAAGTATCAACGTCAGGCAAACCTGTAAATAGAAGTGAAGAAGTTAAATCTCGGCACACCACTTCTGAAAAGCACTGATCCCTGAGCTATGCAATGTCAACATGACACGGCCTTTAAGCCACAGACTACTACAGTGAAAAATCTCTGACGTATGCATATATCAAAAGCTCCTTGTAGTTGATTAATCGATTAACCGAAAAGCAAAAGCTTATAGTTTAATGCTACAAATTACATGCATTTCCTCTCCTACCCACAGTAAATTTTTAACAGGCTGGCCAGCAGCCCGGCTCAGTCCCGGCTTGCGCTGGGTCTGGGTGCTACCCCTGCTGCACCTTTGCAATTAAAAGAGTATAAGGAGCTGGACAGGTAGGCAGCCTGGCTCAATTCCAGTTCACATCGGGTCCGGGAGCTCAGACCGCCCCCGGACAGGGGTTGCTGCCACCCTGCGCATAGCAATGTGGGGTGGCAGCAAATAGTCAGTCCTCAAGGGGAGCTGTTCTTTCAACTGGCTTCTCTTGGACTAGCTCCGGCCTGGCACCCCCACGCTGTTGCCTCTGATGCAGAGGCAGCAGCATGGAGTAGCAGGAGGTTCCTTGGAAGTGTGGCCGGAGTGCACTGGCTGCTGGCCGGCCCCAACACCAGGGACTATAGAATAGTCAAGAAACTGATAAAAATTCATGAGGTTAATCGACCATGCAATTACCCAATATTTAACATCCCTACTCAGCACCAGGATGGAGCATTATGTCCATCAGCAAATGGAGGGGCCTGTTTTACTTGCACTGAGGCAGCCAGCTCCAAAACATGGAAGGGAAAAACCGGTGCATACAGCCGAATGGTTATCATCAACATAGTAGTCAGGATTCACTGGTGTGGTGTCCTGACAGGTCTCCTGCTCCTTCAGGAATGATAACTGTTCGGCTATGTGCATATGCTCCCTGTGTGTCACGTTAGCTTGTGCAAATAACTACCACAGCAGACTCCAAGAAAGCTCCCAAAGACCACCCAGCCAGATTTATTGTAAAATGAGGTACAGTAATAGTCACCAGCAGACTATCAAACCACAATGCATATACCGCCCCCACCCCCAACAATGAACACTATCCAGTGAGTGACATGTTTACATGGCGGAGGGTGAGCAGAGCAGGCAGGATCCGATGCTTGGGGGGAGCTGGCTTTAAAGCCAACTCCCCATGAACTCCAGCTCCTGTGGAGCTGCCTGCCTCCCCACCCCACCCCTGAGCTGTTGCCTCTGTGCATGTAACCTGTGAAAGGTAACAAGGAGTCAACGCTCATCAAGATGGGATGAAGATGGACAGCCCTTGGTCAATAAAGAACAGGTTAGGAACTATTTAGAAAAGCTTAACGTACACAAATCCATGGGTCCGGACTTAATGCATCCGAGGGTACTGAGGGAGTTGGCAAATGTCATTGAGGAGCCTTTGGCCATTATCTTTGAAAAGTCGTGGAGGTCAGGAGAAATCCCGGATGATTTGAAAAAGGCAAGTGTAGTGCCCATCTTCAAAAAAAGGGAAGAAGGACGATCCAGGGAACTATAGGCTGGTCAGTCTTACCTCGGTTCCTGGAAAAATCATGGAAGGGCTCCTTAAGGAATCCATTTTGAGGCACTTGGAAGAGAGGAAAGTGATTAGGAATAGTCAGCATGGATTCACAAAGAGAAAGTCATGCCTGACCAATCTGATTAGCTTCTATGATGAGGTAACTGGCTCTGTGGATGTGGGAAAGTCAGTGGATGTGATATACCTTGACTTTAGCAAGGCTTTTGATACGGTCTCCCACAATATTCTTGCCAGCAAGTTAAGGGAATGTGGATTGGATAAATGGACGGTAAGATGGATAGAAAGACGGATAGAAGGTCGGGCCCAGCGGGTAGTGATCAATGGCTCAATGTCAGGATGGCCTTCGGTTTCCTAGCAGAATGTCCCAAGGTTCAGTTCTAGGACTGGTTTTGTTCAATATCTTTATTAATGACATGGATGAGGGGATGAATTGCACCCTCAGCAAGTTTGCGGATGACACTAAGCTGGGGGGTGAGGTAGATACACTGAAGGGCAAAGATAGGGTCCAGAATGACAGACAAATTGGAGGATTGGGCCACAAGAAATCTGATGAGGTTCAACAAGGACAAGTGTAGAGTCCTGCACTTGGGACGGAAGAATCCCAAGCATTGTTACAAGCTGGGGACCAACAAGCTAAGTAGTAGTTCTGCAGAAAAGGACCTGGGGGTTACAGTGGATGAGAAGCTGGATATGAGTCAACAGTGTGCCCTTGTAGCCAAGAAAGCTAGTGGCATATTAGGTTGTATTAAGAGGAGCATTGCCAGCAGATCCAGAGATGTCATTATTCCCCTTTATTCGGCTCTGGTGAGGCCACATCTGGAGTACTGTGTCCAGTTCTGGGCCCTCCACTACAAAAAGGATGTGGACGCATTGGAGAGGGTCCAGCGGAGGGCAACCAAAATGATTAGGGGGCTGGAACATATGACCTATGAGGAGAGGCTGAGGGAGGTGGGTCTGTTTAGTCTGCAGAAACGAAGAGTGAGGGGGGGATTTGATAGTAACCTTCAACTTCCTGAAGGGAGGTTCCAAAGAGGATGGAGAAAGGCTGTTCTCAGTAGTGACAGATGGCAGAACAAGGAACAATGGTCTCAAGTTGTGGTGGGAGAGGTCCAGGTTGGATATTAGGAAAAATTATTTCACTAGGAGGGTAGTGAAGCACTGGAATGGGTTACCTAGGGAAGCAGTGGAGTCTCCATGCCTAGAGGTGTTTAAGTCTCAGCTTGACAAAGCCCTGGCTGGGTTGATTTAGTTGGGATTGGTCCTGCCTAGAGCAGGGGCCTGTACTTGATGACCTTCCAAGGTCTCTTCCAGCTCTATGGTTCTATGATCACTTAACTGTTTCCACTGTGACTTCCCTAAGGCAGGATATGTTTTGCTATGTGCACCAAGGTATGTTCAAATGTGCACCTACAGTACAAACAAAAACCTAGCTGCGGGCACTCTGCTGGTCAGCTCAGCAGCATTTCAATCTCCCCTGAGCAGCTGCACAAGTGCACAGCTTACAAAGAACACTGACACTTGGAGGGAGTAAGACATTTTCTAGATCTACATGCACCAATCAGAAGAAAGAGATATGCAGAAGGGGGGATGTGTACAGCATGTAAAATTTTTGGCATTATCTGAATATTCTTCAGATGCTTGCCAAGCGATGTGGCTTGTTTTATCTGCCTGACAACCCCATTAGGTGAGGCTGAAGACCAGGGTATGAGCTGAGAAAGCTGCAGCAGATATTGGTTAGTTTGCTAAGCCTGCATCCACAGGTTGTGTGTCAAGGAGAAATATTTAAACTTCCTAATGAAGCCTTACCCCTGGAAGTGTCTACCCTTGGTCACCATCAAACTCATTCCAGAGTACGAGATGACTCCACAAATAGGGATAGGATACAGAGCCTCTCACCTTCAATTCTTGATTTAAATCGTACATACATTGATAGTGGGCTCCAAAGATCTGTTCGGCCAATATGAAGTGTTACTGTAGCTGTGTTGGTTACAGGATATTAAAAGATGAGTGAGGTAGTATCTTTTATTGGACAGACTTCTATTGAAGAAAGATATGCTTTTGAACTTACACACATCTTCTTCAGGTCTGACATGAGGCAGAGCACTGTGTAAGCTCAAAAGTTTGTGTCTAACCTCAACAGAACATTGGTTCAGCCAATATAAAATAAATCAATGGCTTCAAATGCAATTCCCACTGAACAGGTGTCCGCATCACAAAGCCACCAGCACAACTGCTCCTCTCCAACTTCACAATCTCAGGAGAAAGGCCAATAATTGAAAGAACCAGGCAATCTGATTCTCTCCTGGGCAAGGGAAGGCAAACTATGGGTGACACACAAAAGATTCAGTCACCGGGGCAACTTCTTGGAGCAGAGGGCATTATACACAATTCTCTGCTTGTGCATCAGCCAGATCCCTGTGACCTGTACATGTTGCCCCATCCCTGATTTTTCAGTCTTTGAATCCGATTTCTGGGTTCAACGGTCCCTCCTTCAACTGCCTATCAACCCAGTATTAAAATTGGCTAGCACTTCACACTAGTGATAAGTACTTTAAAAAGTCATTCAGTAACATGCTTATCTGTACCATTGCATATTTGTTAAATATTGGTTAACGGATTAGTCAGTTAACCTCATGAATTCTTATTGGTTACTCAACTATTCTATAGTCCCCAGGGGTGGGGCCGGCAGCCAGCCAGTGCGCTCTGGCCCCACTCCTGAGGAGCCCCCTGCCACATCACGCTGCTGCCTCTGTATCAGAGGCAGCAGTGCAGGGTGCTAGGCAGGGGCTGGGCCGCGAGGGGAGCCAGGT